GCCTTTTTGTAGAAAGGAGGATACAACCACTACTTGCTATGAATCAGAAAGACTTTGTAGCAGTTGTATTTACTCACTGAAACTAAAATTGGTGTTATGAATCCATCCTTTACATAGGTTGATTAATATGAATCTATCTCTTAAGAGTTTGATTATAATTTGGAAAGCTTTCTCTCACTAGCCTTTAATCAAACCACCTAGATATTTATGTTGTCAGAAACCCAGCTAACACAGGTGAGGGATTAAAAATTGCTTTTCGTCTTGTATTTTAGGGAGAGGTGTATGTTGTGTATACACTTACGCATTATAGAAATGTAGTTGTAATCAAACATAGTTTTATAAGAATAAAACCACAGTCTTTGTGACAGTGTAGTAGAATATTGTATTATAATATTCTGCAATTTTTGTAAAAATTCAGTCTTTAGTTTTTAATCTTAAAAATCAATGGTCTTAATGGAAATAATAGCTACTGGAAACAAAGTGAGTAGTTTGGTCCCAGAAATACTTCTCAAATACTTTAAAATAGTTCATGCCTTTTGAAATTCGCATGGAAGCATACAGAGTGCTATTGGCAACAGGAGAATTGTCTCCTGCTAATAGTCTCTAAGATGAGGATGAGATTGATGAAGATATAGAGTGAATCCTGTGGCCTGAAAGTGGTATAGGGAGCAGGAAGTAGTTGGCTTTGTTCCTTCTACAGTGCAGTCCATTTTATTATGTATTTTATCCTCCTGTTTTAAAGAAAATTGTTTGGATGCTGATTTGAATATTCAGGTGTTTTTCATGTCATATTTGTTGTTTTAATAGATTTTGGACAATACTTCCACTATCATATCATTACATTTGATGTATTAGAAATACTGGGGCTCAGAAACTTGTTATTAAAATACACAGCTGATTAAAGTGTCAAAGTAAGGATGACCTCCTAGTTCTCTGTTGACATCTCTGTTCAAGGTAGTTTAGAGCAGCTACTGTAAGGCTCCAAAGAATTTATGACAGAGTTCAAGGTGGAAAATAGCTTGAAGCAAAACTTCCCAATACTTACTTACGTTGCAATAATTTAACATTTATTTAGTGCCCATAGTGTGTGTGAAGCAACATGCTAACATTTGTAGTGTGTGAGTAGTATTAAAAAAAAAACCTGCCAGGTGCCAATGGGTTATGCCTATAATCTTAGCAGTTTAGGAGGATCTAAGGAACTTGGTTCAAATTTAGCCCAGACAGGAATGTCCATGAGATTCTAATCTCCATTTAACTAGCAAAAAGTAAAGAGTGGATGTATGGTTCAAGTGGTTGAGCATTGGTCTTGAGCAAAAAAGATAAAGGACCACACCCAGGCTCTGAGTTCAAGTTCCAGGACCAGCACGAGCACACATGTGTGCACCCCCCACCCCCCACCCACACAAATAACGTGTTACTATCCCACAAGATTCATGATAGTTTTGGAGGAGAGTAATTATTATATGTTTGTGGGTTTTTTTGTGTCTTATTTTGTCTTGTGCTGGTTTGGCGGCTTGAACTCAAGGCAAAGGGCTGTTCCTGAGCTTTATGGCTTAAGGCTAGTGCTCTACTACTTGAGCCATGGTTGCTGCACTTCAAGTTTTCTGGTGGTTAATTGGAGCTAAGAGTCTCATGGACTTTCCTGCCCCAGCTGACTTCGAACTGCAAGCCTCAGATCTCAGTCTCCTGAGTAGCTAGGATTATAGGTTTGAGCCATCAGCGCCCAGCTGTTTGTGGATCTTATTTCTATAGACTTTCTACTTTCTTTGCCTGACAATGTAGACACTAATTCAGATTTTTACCATCTCTTTGATATGTTTACACTAAACAAATTTTCATTTTTATGGCCCTGCCCAGAACATACTCCAGATTTAACTTTGATCTTCATCTCTTGCCCCACCATTTACTTTCATTGCCATTATTTTCTAATCAAGTGTTAGGCATTTTCTCCTTGAATTCTTGTGGTCACCTCAAACTCAATAAGTGAAAATCACAACTCAAAAGTTCCTACAACCCATTTACATCCCCAAGATACCATTTTTTAAATCAATAGTAATTACACCACTGTCCAAATAGGTTTAAAATTTCGGAGGCATTTCTGAGTTCTTTCTGTTTGGGGATACCTGCATCTAATCACTCAGCAACTTCAATTTATTCTTCCTTTTAAATGTTTCATGAGTTCCTCTGCATTCCATCCTACTGTCACCAACCTAACCTAGAGTCTCATTTCGCCTGCCTCTTAAGATGTCTCTTTAGCATCACTTTTCATCAAATGTAGTGAAGCTGATGAAATTCTATCAGATTCATTTGCTCAAAATGCTTTTCCATTAGGCCTTCACATAGTTAAAATTTGTTGACTTTCCTCTAGAAATTACCTGGAATTCAATGTTTAACAATCTGGGCTTGACAAACGTGTCAATTATTCTCCAGCTTCACTCATTTCCTTCAGGCAGATAAGTCTCCTTGGTATAACAGGCAGGTGTTCAGCACAGTCCTGATACAATTTTTTTACATCATTTCTGTGGCTAGCATTGAACTAGAATAATGGAGTTGGCCATTTACTATGTGCATGACAGTTGGCTCAGTATGATCCTAAGTCCTAAATATTCTTTTAGGCCTGTCTTTCTTCACCAAATTCATTTGCCTTTTACAAAAATGATACTGGTTTACTGTCTCATATCTTTTATAATCTGTAAGTTTCTAGCTCCACTAATACTGTAAGTTACCTAATGGCAGGGACTATGTCTCACTTTATTTTGTGTCACAGGTTGAGCTGAGCATATGTAACACTTGTTCAATTGGATTACAGCAAATCCAAATATTTTAATAGGAACATGAGAAACAACAAAATGGATCAAAGTAGAAGTCCATACAAAGTTATGTAAATTGGGATATTATGATGGTTGCCATTCATACTCTCAAGTTCATAAAGTTGATTGTAATTTAGGAATCAGTGCTTTCCCAGTCGGATCCTTTATTATCAGCCAGTGATACTGCAGATGCAAAATTTATCATTTTCTGTATCATAGAAAAAGCTTGCTTTTATCTCAGATAAATAGTTCATAAATCCATCAACATTTTTATTAAAGTAAGAAGAAAAAGTTAATGGAAAGTGACAATTGCTGATTCTGGAGTTGGAAGATACTGTTCTCTGTTAGATTCATCCTCACCTCAACCTACAAACTTTACTTAATGCACAATTTGGCTCTGGCATACTGGCAGGCTCCTTTATTGTTGGTTGTGGGGCTTGAACCCAGGGCCTGGCAACCGACCCTGAACTTTTTCACCCAAGGCTAATGCACTAACACTTTCAGCCACAGCTCAACTTCCTGTTTTCTGGTGGTTAATTGGAGATAAACATCTCACGGACTTTTTCCTGACAGAGAACCACAATCCTCAGCTCAGCCTCCTGAGTAGCTAGGATTATAGGCGTGAACCATCAGGGCCTAGCCTTTAAGCTGACTTGAGTTATTTGCAGGACCTGATTAGCTGATATAGTCAATATTTAGATAAACTGAGTAGTATAGTTTTGTTAAGGAGACAGATGTAAATATTTACTGTCTAATGTAAGTAGCTTTGAGTTCTAAATGGTCTATTAATAGTAAAATAATAAAAAAAAATTGTGCTGGTACTAGAGTTTGAATTCAGGGCCTGGGCCCTGTCCCTGAGCTTTTTTTGCTCAAGGCTAGTACACTTGGGCCATAGTCCTATTTCCAGCTTTTAGTGGTTCATTGGAGGAGTTTCCTGCCCAAGTTGGCTTCAAACTTTGTCCTTCAGATCTCAGCCTCCTGAATAGCTAGGATTACAGACATGAGCTACTGGCACTTGGCTAATGAAAATGTTTTCAAATTATTGAAACTTGTTGCAATAGATTTGATACATTTCAAGTATATGTAAGCTCTAAAGAATAAAAGCAAAAAAGAAAGGGCATCAATTTCACCAATATAAAATATAATGCAGTTCATTATATTTTATAATTTGTAGAATGATAAATATTCTTATATTTAAAATAATACAAATAAGTCTGTTTTATTTTGACAAATCTGACAAATGTATGGTGTTAGGACCTTTTTTTGAGTTTAGGTTTCAAAACAACTTGAGAATATTGGAAGGCAGGGCCACTGAATTTACAGAGACAGCTTATCAGCCCATTTGTTTACCCTTGAAACAACTTCTTTACCTTACGTTGGAAAAAATGCTCCTGGCCAAAGATACTGATTTAAATGTCTGAATTTTGGGCTCTGTGTTAACCTGTTCTATTTCACATATATATAAACTACAAAATCAGTCATAAAAATTTCTTATTCCTATACTTATATTTTTCTTTATTTCTTATATTCATTTGTAGTCGGGAGGGCTTCCTTTTGATAATCCCAAGGGAGAATTCACTTATTTCTAGCTGTGGCAGCATATTTCAAGAAAATTTCTTAACCTTTGTGAGTCTCTTTCCTCCTGGTCAACCAGAGCCAGTAATACTTACCCTGTCTAAATTGTAGGATATTGAGAGATTCGAGTGGGATAATGAAAGTTCCAAGTCTCTCTTCACTGATTTACCTTCCACAGTCATTGTTCACTTTCTTTCTGTACTGAAGGAATCTGCTACTACATTCAAGAAACTGAATTATGTACTTAAGATAGGATTCTAAAACAAACTGCACACATCTGGCTTCATTGCAAAAATGCCAGAAGTTTGGGGCGTGTCCCCTCCATATTTTGCTACATTGAGCTCCCAAGCAGAAGCAGTGAGTGATACTTGTTGACAGGCTGGTTAGATTAGCAAATCTCTGGGTGAGAAATAAAGCAGAACAGATTCATTTTAACAGCCTAATTGAAAACAGGCACTACAGATTAGTGATCCCTTAAACTCTGGGGGATTGCGTAAAAATCTATTGGTTGAATTTTACCACTATTTTTTTTTTTACCATTATTTGGGGTATTAATATACTCAAATCTCCTTACCTGCTGTCTTCCAGGTTCGCAGTTCAGGTCCTTTTGCATTTGCTCTCTGAAGCAAGCTCCAAGTCTTCAGCAGATACAATTTACCAGTCCCTTGAAGAGCTAACCCACGATAGGGAGCTGCAGAGTAAGTAAATCTGGATACCAGGAAAGGGTCTAAAAAGGCACTCCATTCATAGAGTACCTGCTCTTTAGGCAAGCTATTTTGCCAAGTTGGGTTGCTGCTATTTTCAAGAGGGGAAAGGGCAGGGCAGTGTACATTTGCTAGCCAATATATACTGATTTCTTCTTCCTCTTTCTGATTAGATCTTAAACTGTTTATAAAGCCAGTGTTTGGCTTTGCTATTGTAAAGTGGGGGAGGGGAAGAGAGGGAGGAAGAATAGAAACGGGAGATTTGGCAGTTTGTATGTACAAATGAGCTTTTATCCCTAGCTGCAGCAATAGAATCTTCAGGAAATCATGCAGCTGATGTAAGATGGAAAGTAGGGAGGAGCGTATGCTGTTTGGCTTAGTTCTCTCTGATTTTTATGACTGGAGGGTGGTTAGACTATTTGTAGGCGGGGAAAGATAATCCTTCCAGTATATGCTAATGTAAGTGGCATTATGTTTAACTTGGTCTTCAGCAAGAATTTCATCTCTCTTCCCACTTCCTTCTGCCCTTCTCCTCCACACTCCCTCTCTCTTTCTGTCACTTGTGGCTCTGTTCACATTCAAAAAGCAAACACACCCTTCCTGATGTCTTATGCCCCAAGTAATTAGTGCCACATAGTTTGAGCTATGTTTCTCCAAATCTTCACAATAGTATGTTTCTTTTATTGAATTAAAAGTGTGATTTTGACCCTACTGAGAAGTTCTGGAATGATTAAACTTGCTGTTAGTGGTATACCATGTTAAGGATCTGGGGACCATATAAATGTTCTTGGCCTTTGGTTGCCACAGAGGACTCAGGGCTGTGGGGTGTTCAGCCTACTTTGGAGAATAGGGAAATCTTAATCTGATAGGTGTTTTAGGTCAAACCTTGATGTCACAAACCAAGAGGTTAAGATTATGATGTAGGTTGATTACAGGCATCATCATGAATTGTATTATGAGGACAGGTATACATATTCATTTTAGCACTTTGCCCTCATAGCTAATAACTAATTGATAGACTTGTCAAATGCAAGTCCAGGAATAATTTTCTGGCCTGCAGGAAAACAGTATGAAAAATAGTGGGGAAAAGTCATTTACTCAAGTTTTGCCCTTTTAGGTAGCAAAATTAACAGATGAGGGCCTGAGTTCTAAGTCCCCTGGAATTTTTATCTCCTCCCACAGAATCCTTGGCTGTAGTGGTAGATGGTTTGGGGGAGCAGAATTCCATCCAACCATGTTAAAGTGTAGAGATAACATTTGGATTCAAGACCAGATTTTAATCCTACCCTGAAGAGTGTTACTAACTGAACTGATATTTTAATCATTATTTCAACTGAGTTTGGAACCCTACAGATATACAGGAAAGCTTATAAGTAAGTCAGAGGGCAAACTGTCACTTGCCATCAAGTATAAAATGCTACAACCAGGTCAAGTTGTAGTGAACTAGTAATTCATACTTTGGTACTAAAGCATAAGAAAGGGGCTAAGATCTTTGAGGTTCAAGATAGCACCACTGTAGTTGTGGCAGAGAGGAAGAGCCCTTTGGTGCATCTGTGTGCTCCCATACTTGTTTTCTTCCTTAGTTACTTCTCTGTTACTGGGTAATGGGAATGATAGGGTTTTGCCTTGTATAGCTGCATCGATTTTTGTGGCCAAATTTGCTATAATTGGCAGTATATTTCTTGTATATTATCCTCTTGTCTCTCTATCATTTCTTCCCCTCTCCACCCATTTCATTACATACCTATCCTCAGATTTTCTCAGTTTAGAAAGGAATGAAGTGCCTAAACTGATACTTCTCTGATGCCTCTTTACTCTTACTCTTTCTCATATTCCCAGACTCAGTTCTTACTATCTTCTTGGGGTGGAAAAGACTAGATAAACAAGTGGCAAGGAAAAGGGGAATAACATGTAGTTAAATGGGGAATCTGCCTTAATGAAGTATGTCTTAAGAGGGTTAAGGAATTTACAGTCATGTGTTATGCACACAGTGTCTGTGAGCTGCAGAACCTCCTATGGCATTTACATGGATTCAAAGCTGAAAGGGGACTTGAAAATTATCTTATTTAGAGCTTAGATTAAAGTTGATTCCTGAGGGAATAATATGTCTGATTTATCATTGTACCTCCCAAGTGTTAGTTCATTGCTTTATTCAGTTTGTAATAATTCCAATTCACTTTTCTCATATTATAGATGAGAAAGATAAACAGATCTGAGCGAAAGAGGAATAATACTTTTTTCTTCAGCAATGACATTGTTTCATAAGTCAATACTAATGGTACTTTGAGAAGATGGATATTACTGTAGTCATAGTATAATTTTACACACACACACACACACACACACACACACACACATATGCATGTGTGCATGCACACACACACTCAGACTGGGTGGGAGAGTTAATGGTTCCAGGTTCCAGAAACCTTGAGAGAATGAAAAAAAGGTCACTCTGGCTATAGAAATATGGCCCTCATCAATTTTCCTGTAACTATCCCAGGACTTCCCTTGTGGATATAAAAACAACCTTAGGTTATCATTTCTGGAACTGAATTAGAGTGGGTAAGTTTGAATGAATATTGTAAGATAGAATAGTACAGAGCACCAGAAGAGATGGTACAGAACACCTTAGCCAATACTCCATATGTTTTTGTACTATGGTTATTTACACTTAAATGTAAGTTGATAAACTAAAACATTCTGTCATCTGATCAGTCTAGCTACATTTCAGGTGCCTAGGAACAATAGTTGAGGATGTCACTAGCACAATGTCATATAATGAAATGCCAAAGTTTAAGAAAGAACCACATGTTTTGGATTCCAATAAAAAGCACATAGATTGATTTCCATTCCTTATGGATTTATGTCTATCTCAGTGCAGATTTGTGAGCATAGTTCGCTCTTACAAGCATTTGTAACTTTATATGTGAGTTTTGAATATTTTAGTAGGGGTGAAGACAAGGAAGACTTTTGTTTAGCATGGAATGAGGGAACCTCTTTGCTTGGATTTGTATAGTTCTTACTTTTCTTCCCTGATAGGATTGAAGGAAAAAATAAGCATAAATATAAAAAAAGTTATATGTAATAGTGCATTAATCGTGATAAAGTCAAGCTTTACTTCTTCCTGCTCATTGTTTGCTTTGAGTGCAAGTAGGGAAGTGGGCTGGTTTCGTGGATCATTTGATAGTTGGGGTGAAAGGGAGTCTCTTGGATGTGTGAGTTTGGAAACTTGCTAATACTCTCCAAACTCAGGAACTTGGATTGGTTGGACTTGCTCTCACTTCACCTTTTGCTCCAAGAGGAATTAGGCAAAGACAGACAGTGAGAGGGATTTTTTTAAACTAGAGGGATCGTCCACAAGTATGTCAAGTTCAGATTTTTTTCAAGGAAAACGTGTGAGAAAATGGGTAATCACTGTGCCACAAATTCCTAGTGAAAGTTCTGCTATAACTAAGTGATTAGTCTATTTTTTAAAAAAAATTGTAAAGGTGATATACACAAGGGTTACCATTACATAAGTCTGATGAGTATTGTTTTGAACAGTGACTAGTTTATTACAGAGTTAATTTAAGAGCATCTAAGTCTGCTGCTTCTCAAATTTACTACTCAAAAACTTGCCACCATTAGTTGGGAATGCCTTTCTTTTGGAACACTCTTTGGGTAAATTATATTAAGTGTTCAAGGAAAAAAGGAAAGCTAGTATCTGTTTTAGGACATTAATAGACAGAATGGCACAATGTAGTGGTTTTCTGGAAGCGAGGCAGTCTTGGGAATGAGGACTAGAGAGTTGAGTTTACCAATGAATGTTTGCATCTCTCTGCCATGTTGATGGGCAGCTAGCACAGGCTCAGGGCTGATCTCCACTTGTTGGCTCAGAGACCTAGCCATTCTCTTCGTGATATAATTTGATGCTGTTACTGAAAAGTGCTGACCACTGAGCTCCCAGTGAGCTTTCCAGTGGAGGGCATGCATGCTGGCACCTTAAACATGAACAGGACAAGCACTCAGAGAAAGCTTGGGGGGAATCCTTGGGAAATAAACATGATTTGAATATTCAGGGATTTCAGCAATTGAGCTGCAATTTGGGTCCATCTGTGTGTCATCCTCCCCCTCTTCCTCTTCTCCTTCCATCCTTCTCTTCCTATTCCTCCTTCTTCTTTTTTCTCCTCTTCCTCCTTCCCTTCTCCTCCTCCTTCTTTCCCCTTCCTCCTTCACTTCCTTATTTTTCTCCTTCTCTCCTCCATTCCCTCTTCTTCCTTTTCCTTTTCTCCTTCCCTTCTCTTCTCCTTTTCTCCTGCGTTTCTTCTCTCTTCCTCCTCCTTTTCTTCTTCCGTCCTCTTTCTTCTCCTCTCTTCCTCTCCTTTGTCTCCTTCCCTTCTTTCCTCCTCTTCCTCCCCTCTTTTCCTTTTCTCCTTCCCTCCTCTTCTTCCTTCTCCTCTTCCTCTTCCTTTTCTCTTTTCCTCCTCTTCCTTCTCCTCTCTTCCTCTCCTTTGTCTCCTTCCCTTCTCCTTTCCTCTTCCTCTTTATTTTCCTTTTCTCCTTCCCTCCTCTACTTCCTCTCCTCTTGTTCCTCCTCCTTTTCTCCTTACCTCTTCTTTTTCCTTCTCCTCTCCTTTCTCCTCCTTTTCTCTTTCTTCCTCTTCCTCTTCCTTTTCCTTTTCTCCTTTCCTCCTTTTCTTTTTTTAAATAAATTTTTTATTGTGAAAATACCATACAGAGGGGTTCCAATTACATGAGCAAGGTAATGAGTACATTTCTTATCAAACATTGATGCCTCCTCCTTTGTTTTTCCCCTACCATTCCTGCCCATCACCATGACTACACTCCCGCACTCCCCCCCACCGAAGTTGTAACGTTCGTTTTTTGACATAGCTTCTTGTACATCTCATTGTTGCAATGGGTCCACCTGTATCCCTATTTAAACAATTTGTTTTTTCCCTTCCCCTCCTCAAATTATAACAACATCAAATACAGTGAAAACAGGGGTTATACCG